GTTTGGTAGCACAGGCACTCAGTACCCGCCCTGTTCATCACGACCACAGGATGTACTTCGAACTACTGTAAAGTCCACTGAAAAGGCCCACTTCGCAGCAAACGCCCACTTCGCAGCAAACGCCCACTTCGCAGCAAACGCCCACTTTGCAGCAAACGCCCACTTCGCAGCAAACGCCCACTTCGCAGCAAACGCCCACTTCGCAGCAAACCCCCACCCCAGCGGGTCCATGCAATTTTCGTCTTTGTCAGGGTAATACAGTTGTACAACATTCGTGTCAACTGCATCGTCGTTCCATCAGTCTGTGCACCCGTGCAAAATCAGCACACCGCAGATGTAGTCACAGCTTACGAGTCTCTACAGAATCTCAGTCTCGCCGACAACTGTGGCGGCTCAGCTAGTATCGACATTCTACTCGGCGCTGACGTTTATTGGCAGATCGTCACGGGCGACATCGTTCGTGTAGATGATGGGCCAACTGCTCTCGATACTCGCCTCGGGTGGGTTCTGTCCGGACCAACAGGCAGGTGTAATTCAGGCATCATCTCCACTAACGTCGCCACCGTTCACGCTTGCGATGTCGAACCATCTACCGTGCAAGATCCAGACAGCGCTTTGGTCCAGCTACTCCAGAAGTTCTGGCAGCTTGAATCCATCGGCATCTTGCCTAATGAACCGGACACTCTGCAGCTGTTCCAACAGACCATCCGCTACGATGGGCAGAGGTACACGGTCAGGTTGCCATGGAGGGAGGATCATCGCGCGCTTCCAGACAATTACAGTCTGTCCGAGAAACGGCTGCAGTCAACACTCAAGAAACTGCAAAAGTCACCAGAAATTCTGAAGGAATACAATGCAGTAATTCAAGAGCAACTTCAGAAGGGCATCATCGAGGAGGTGCCAACTACAGAGCACGACGTGGTGGGCGAAGTACATTACCTGCCTCACCATCCTGTCATCCGGCAGGACAAGACCACAACGAAGGTTCGTGTGGTGTACGATGCCTCAGCCAAGGTGAAGACGCATCCGTCCCTGAACGACTGCATCCACACGGGACCACCGCTGCTCGAGCAGATCACCAGCATACCGCTCCGGTTCCGAACGCATGCGGTAGCCTTCACCGCAGACATAGAAAAGGCGTTCTTGATGGGTGGGATTGAGACAGCCGACCGCGACGTCCTACGCTTCCTCTGGGTCGACAATCCCACAAGCGCTCAGCCGGTACTCAAGACGTACCGATTCACGCGTGTTGTCTTCGGTGTATCCGCTAGCCCATTCTTATTGAACGCTACCCTGCAACACCATCTCGCCAAGTTTGAGCCCGAGTTCACTACGAAGCTGCTACAGAGTCTGTACGTGGACGATGTTGCGAGTGGCGGCAACAGCAATGCCAATGCGTTGGAATCGTTCAACCGTGCCAAGAATCACCTTGCAACAGGCGGATTCAACTTGCGCAAGTTTGTCTCCAACTCCGCTGAGTTGAATGAGATCGTCAATGGTACCGCAGCGACACCACTGTCGACTAACGGTCTGCCTACTGTCGCCGTGGACAACGACTCGTATGCCAAGACCATGTTGAACGGCTCATCCGCAGCCACCACCAAAGTCCTGGGCATTCCATGGGACAGGACATCTGACCGTCTTACGTTCAGCATCGACGAGGTGTTCAGCACGACCAAGGTCGACTCGCCAGTAACTAAGCGCCAAGTCCTATCGGCGTCAGCCAAGATGTATGACCCCCTCGGACTCCTGGCACCTATCACCATCACCCTCAAGGTATTTCACCAACAACTATGCCAGTTGAAGATGGGCTGGGATGACCCATTGGAGGGAGAGTGTCTTGACAAGTGGCAGACGATGATACGGGAATTGAAGGCCATGCCACCGGTCTCATTGCCGCGGCACTACGCAACAGACGCGAACGGCAACATCACACGTGTCGAGCTACACGGTTTCTGTGACGCGTTCGAGAGAGCCTATGCAGCAGCCATCTACATTGTGTTCACGACGGAGGTGGGCACTTCAGTACAGCTAGTCACTGCAAAGACTCGTGTTGCGCCGCTGAAGCAACAGACCATTCCCCGCCTCGAGTTGCTTTCAGCACTGGTATTGGCTCGCCTGATGGCATCAGTCTCCTCAACCTTGGCAGATCTGAAGATTGATCAGATTCACTGCTGGTCCGACTCCCAAGTGGCACTGGCGTGGATAGCTGGAGTGGAGCAAACTTGGAAGCAGTTTGTTGAGAGCCGGGTTACAGAGATCCGACGTCTCGTTCCGACGTCCTGCTGGAGCTACTGCCCAACAGCTTCGAACCCAGCTGACCTGCCGTCACTCGGAGTGAAGCCCAGGGAGCTCACCAGTACCATCTGGTACACTGGTCCGAAGTGGCTACACGAGCCACAACCCCGAGCAGAAGTCGACAGCGGCTCCGCAGCATCGCAGTGTGAAGAAGTCGAGAGAGAGCGGAAGGCAACACCTACCACGGTCATGGCAGTCGGCTGCACCTCGCACAGTAGCATCGAGAAGGTCATCGATGTGAATCGATTCAGCTCACTGAGCAAACTGCTGCGTGTGACCGCTTACGTCCTGAAGTTCACAGACCTGTTGAAGTGTCGCAGCAAGACCACACATCTGTCTGCGAAGGATCTCCACAGAGCACATACACTGTGGATGGTCAACGCTCAACAGGATCTGTCCAAGGACAAAAAGTACCCTGGTTGGTATAAGGAGTTCGGCCTTTTCACCGACGAGAGTGGCATTCTACGGTGTGGCGGACGTCTGCAAAACGCCGGACTGTCGCATGATCAAACCCATCCGACTTTGCTGAGCGCGAACCATCCGTTGACACGTCTAGCCGTCCTGCAGGCGCATGACACGGTATGCCACAATGGTGTCAAGGAGACACCAACCGAGCTACGATCCCGTTACTGGATCATTCGTGGTCGGCAATTCGTACGAAAGATTGTCGGCCAATGCACCGTTTGTCGACGTCTCGAGTCGAAGCCGTACGCTCCGGAAGATTCACCTCCCCTGCCGGAATTCAGGACCAAGGTGGACTTCCCCTTTAGTTACGTCGGTGTGGACTTCGCAGGGCCACTGTTCGTCAGGGAAGGAGCAGACACCAAGAAGGTGTATATCGCGCTCTTCACCTGCGCCGTCAGCCGAGCGCTCCATCTAGATCTTGTGCCTGACCTATCAGCGGAAACGTTCCTCCGTTGTTTCAAGCGGTTTACGGCACGATTTGGCATCCCTCGGCACGTTACCTCTGACAACGCCAAGACCTTCAAGTCAGCGGCTAAGTCACTAGTGGGTTTGTTCGGTCTGCCCGAAGTCACTGACTATCTAACAGCACACGGCATGGAATGGTCGTTCAACTTGGAGAAGGCTCCATGGTGGGGTGGATTTTATGAACGGATGGTCCGATGTGTAAAACGCTGCTTGAGGAAGATTCTCGGCCAGGCACGCGTCACGTACGAAGAACTCCTCACCTTCTTGCTCGAGGTTGAAGCAGTCCTCAACAGTCGCCCTCTGACATTTGTGTCAACTGAAGATGTCGAGGAGCCGTTAACACCGTCCCATCTATTGTATGGTCGGCGCGTCCTGTCATTTCCGACAGTGTGTCCTGATGACGTCGATGTCGCGTCAATTCAACGAGATGAGCTTCTACACCGACTCACCCACCTCAACACGCTCCTGGAGCATTTCTGGTGCAGATGGAGAAGTGAGTATCTACTCGAACTCCGAAACGCTCACAGGCGAGGCAATCAGCACGACCAAGGAGCAACAGTGTGCGTCGGTGATGTAGTAGTCGTGCACGACGACAATGAGAAGCGTGGCCTGTGGAGACTAGCGTTAGTCGAAGACCTCATCCGAGGCAAGGACAACAAGGTCCGAGGAGCGGTGATAAAATGCTCTTCCCGCGGAGGACGAGCATCCACCATGCGTCGCCCGGTACAGCGACTGTACCCTGTGGAGGTAGCAAGACCTGCAGCAGCCGCCGACATTCTCGACGAACAATCGCAGGCCCACGTTGCGGACACAGCCTCCGCTGTCCAGCAATCTGGTGCGCACCCCGGCGTCATGCGTCCAAAGAGAGGTGCTGCCCGGTCAGCTGATAAAGCCAGACAGCAACTGATTAATGCCGGCTCCTTGTAGAACTGCAGCAGCAATATTCTGTGTTCGATGAGAGCATCACGTTGCACCATGCTCTGTACTCTAGTAGCAGCACGCTGTTGTAGGAACGAGTCAGGTACATGTAGTACACTAAATTCTAAGCTCTCATCTGGAGGGAGTGTGGAATATTGCATGCTTGTCAATAGTGCATGCTTGTTAGAGATTGCATGCTTGTCAGATATTGCATGCTTGTTCGAGATTGCATGCTTGTTAGATATTGCATGAATAAGAGTATTGTCACAAACTAATGGTTCGCACCAAGCATACATACAAGCACACAAGCAATTGATTATACAGTCTTCTTTCTTCTTTCTATCGTGTCTTCTAAAGTATTTTACTTACCTTTTGCGCCATGGTACGTCTACGACGTTCCCATGGTCTTCACGTACGACATACGGTTTTCTAGCCCTTTTTCCTGGAGCTTGTCTCCTCGTGTCGTTTCTGTTTCATTGGTTTTACGTTGTCTAATGATAAGCAACA